GAATTTCCTGGTAGTTCTAGGCTTTGCGCCAACTTTCAGCACAAACGCCCGCAGATTGCCGCAAACAGCTTGCGAGGCGCAAACACCCGCAAAACGCTTGCGAAATTGCCGCAAACGCCTGCAAAACTTTGCAAACAAACGTACAGCAGATCCAACACGGAATGCCCCAAAATGCCTGAGGAACACCCAATAATTGCCAGGAAAAGGAATCTCCAGGTTAGTGGGGATTCGTTCTCTCCTGGAGAACAATCCACTTTGCGCTGCGCAGTTGCGGTGTCGCCTCCCTCAATGTGGCCAGCTCATGTGTCAGAAGATGTCAGAAGGTAGGAGTCCCATTACTCCCGAACACAAACTGTCCATGACCCGGTGGGTCTTCAAACAAACGGGAATGTCAAAACGATTCTTGTGGAAAGGCCAATGCAAGGCTAGCGCAACCCCACCTGCACGACAAGGGCATGCGGGTGGGATATCTTGCTGCTTGCGTTTGCATCGTTTACTTGGGAGCCCCCCTGCCAGCCCCAGCCCTGGCCACCTCGTTCCCCGAGTCGCCTGCCGCAGGTAGAGCCCCGTGCTGCACTCGCAGCAACGCCGCGAGCGCCAAGCAGCCCGCGCTGGGCAGCGCCCCGGGCAGCTCCATGGCAGGCGACCCGTCCAAACACGTGGGTACGGTGGTAGAGGACGCAGGGGGATTAAGCTGATAGCTGCTTGAACGTGAGATGATCGAGTATTGTGTGCGTTGTGCTTATGGCACTTTTGAGTGTTTGGAAGTGTTTGGAAGTTGTGCCAGCGCATTCATTATTCTGTCCTAAAGACTTGCGGTTAAAACAGTTGCCAAACAAAGATTGCCCCCACTATTCTCTTCATGCCAAGCAGGGCTGGTGGTCCAATGCTTGTAATGATTTTCGCTGGAATTGACCAAGCCAACTGTGTGGGTTGAGCTGCGCACACAATGTCCCGAGCGTGAATTCCTGCCATGCTTGCTTGTCATGTGTGAATCTTTTCCGTTTGGTTCTTTGCCAAGAGGCGTCTCCAGCAACTTGATCTCGTACTCCTGGCAGGCAGGACGTAGCGAGAAAGATCTGCGTGGAAGGCATAGGGGTCAGTGTATCAGTGAGCTGCTGGCACCCCGCAAAATCCGGTACTTGTCCCTCCACAGATCTTCCGTTGTGTTCTTTCCGGTGCCACTTGCCATAGTAGCGCGTGCAAGCTGGTAGGCATGCAGAAGCATGCAGGAAGATGGTGGTTGGAAGCAGCCTACAACGAGTCGAGGGACCTGGGAGGAGGCAATGGAGCAAACGTCCAGAAGGCAAGCCGAAACCTGGTGTGGCTGCACAGCCCTGGAGTGCAAATTTCGCCGGCGAGGCCGCGCGGCGCAGCTCGGCCTCTGTGCCGCAAAGCATCTCCTGACAGGAGACATGCCTTCCGAAGCCCAATCATCGAGAGCGGGGGGAGGAGGGGGCTTCTTCAAGCGACAGCCGCAAAGGGACTCGAAACAATCGGCATCCGTGATCTTAGTGACGGCCACTTTGCGAAGAGAACGCCTTCGCAAAGTCCATTGCGGAGCTTTCATGGAGCTAAATGTTCAAACACCCTCTTTCATAAGTGATAATGGGTCTTGCGTAAAAAGCCCCGTTGTTTCTTGATGGCCCTTTTCGGGTGGTCGTTACTGTTAACTCCTCATTGCTTCGCAGTGCACTTTCAACCCAGCAAATCGCAACGTTTTAGTACACGACGTGTAGTACACAAACTACATGTTGGCAGCTCCAGCCCGAACATCGCAGAGTTTCAATACGCGTGCAGCCTTCGAAGTTCAGCTAGCAAATGTGGCCTGCTTGCTGCCCAAGAAGCTGTGCCTTTCCCAGCTGGCAAGGTTGCTTCCCACGATCATTATCGTTTTTAGCTCTTTAAAGTTTTGCAGTAAAACGGAGCAGTTTCAGCAACGAGGGTGCTTTGAATACTAAACTTACATCAACGGCGGCAAGGTTCACGTGCGTTTGATGTTTTTCGCACAACTGTTGGGATCCTGTCAGAAACATTGTCGGACATGTTGTGGCTAGAACCAGACGGCTTATGCTGACTCAAATCGATTTAGCGGCTTGCAAATATTGGAAACGACTTGAAGATCCTCATGTTGAGATATGGCCATATATGATCGGATATGACCGGAAAACCATTTGACATCAAGTCAATGCGCTTACGGTTTAGCCCTCGCCATGGAATCGACAACGGTTTTGTTTTGAACAAGTTGCGTAAACATATCTTAAGGTCAAGGACCCCGGGGCGCGCTTTGCTCTGTATCCAGGCTTTGGTCGACATGGCGCTTGGTTTCCACTTGTAATGTGCTTGAGTCAGAACTGAATCAAACATGCAGCAACGCTGCAATTAGAGACAAGGCAAACAGCAAGGCCCTTGTGAAATATGACATAGCTTGGCAGGACTCGTGTGTTTGACTTGGACTTCCTCCCGTGCTCTCTGCGTCCTTAACCGCCACATCCTCCTTGAACTCCTGGCAGGAAATGATGGAGGGTCAGCTGCTGGCCTGGTGCCAAGGAAACAATGCGCAAGCTCAGTTTGTCCTTCCATCCCAAACCGGAAGACTGATTGATCAGGCGGTCCGTAGGTGGCACGAGGAAAACACGTTTAAAGGCTCCACAAACGTCGTGCCAACAACCTCCTCCATCCGTATGATCATTTCTCACTCACTGCGTAGTAAGTGGCTTTCATAGTCTTGCCGCACTCCTTAAAGCTTCTCGCTGAACCGCTTGCTCGTGCCCAAAATGAGTTCTGGGCTGTATGGACTGCGTGGATTCCTTTCCATCGGCAAGCGGGCAGCTTGTTTGGTGCATACCTTTGTCATGTGCCTGATTGATCGGAGCTTCCAACCTGCTCGTCTAGTTTGCCATGCTTGCTTCTTTCCCGTGGCTCGCGTAGGATTGCCCCTTGGCTCGCTTATGGGGTTGCTTCATGCGTTTTGCGGCTGCTTTTGACCTTTTGGCCAATGCAACAAAGTACAGTATGAAGCTCAAAACAGTGCTGCCGCTTTGGAGAGACACATGCCCGACTAGTTTATGAAGTATGCAGACTCAGAAATCCCTGTTCCCGCGCCCTTCCCCCGTCATTCGCCTGGGCACCGGCTCTGGCACCCTTGCCAGCCCAGACCACGCCAAAAGAGCCCATGCCCAAGGGCTCCCAGATGTAGCCTCGCGATTCCGTGCGGGTGCTGTTCGCATGGCATTCTTTACTCTCTTGCACGTGTTTGCAAATTTTGAGTTCTATTCCCAGCCTTGGCTCAGAGTCCATGCGTGAGTCTTGAATGAGAGGGCAAATCGCCCTTCTAGCCCTTTATCTTGCTTCGTGTTGATTTGGGGATGGCTTCAGCTTCGTGATGAGATGTGAATTGACCAGGCAGCATCGGCAGTCGCCAATGGGCACCACGATGCCCACCGCCAGCTCCAGTGACCCTTCCGGATTTCGTGGCGCCGTCACTTTCCGGTGACCTAGGGGAACACGCGCTCGGTGCAATCTGACTTTTTGCACAGAGCAACCTTGGATAAATCAGTATCAGTTCATCAAGCCCCCCCCTCCCCAAACCGCATCGGCAAACGAAGGGCAAAGATATGCTAATATGCGCAGAAAACAACAGCTGCTCCCCGCATGCCAAAAGTTGTTGGGCTTTCATGCCAAGCAGCCTGGCGTTGCCTGGCGGCCTGGCGTGGGCGTTGCTTGGCGGCAGCTTGGGGGCGTCGCATGGCGGGGTGCAGCGCGACACGGCCCTTGTAAGCGCAGCGGCTCTACCTGCACCAGGCAAGCGTGATCACGTGCGCCGGTCAACGGGGTAATGAGGACGAGAATGCCATCAGCATGAAGCATACGGAATCTGATGTGGTTTCTCAGAACTCGGCCCACTGGAGAGCCACTCAACTGAACATGGACAACTGGTGAACAGCATCGGACAAATCAACAATCACCAACATGAACATGCTGAAACATACGGACAAATATTGGCCCCAGGCAGCATGCAGTTTTAATCTGCCTATTCCCTGACCCCTTGCCTGCCATGGCTGGAGAACCGGCACCACTGGCCGCGCCGGCCCGCGTGCGCAAGGTGCGCAAGGGGCGCTGGGCGCGCTGGGAGCGGGTGCGCCGGGCACCGGCGTCGCAGAGCGATTGGCACTCGCGGTGCGGGCGGCTCGGATGGGGGAGGATGAGTAGCCGATGGGTGCAGGGACGAAGCAAAGGGGGCCCGGTCGCGCCATGGCGGCCTCAAAGCTAGAAACTCCTGGGCATGTGTATAGCCGATCTCGAATTTGTCTGCAACAATATTTCAGGGCAGCTGGTCTAGGAGTCCGTCCCAAAGTTGGAGGGATTATTGTGGCAAACCTCTCTGGTTGGACAATTGATGTGCATTGTTGTCGGAGTGCTTGTTTCTTCAGGCAAATCGATGCACTGGTTATCGTTGACTGAAGCCATTGGATTGGGGAAGATTTCAAATTCAATTGAAGTCGCAACGATGCGTTTGGGGTGTAAGAGCTAGACGCCAACTATTTTAACTACTTTGAAATAATGCTGATGTTGCTCACATGTTGTTTTCGTGAGAAACATTCCGCGCAAATAACATACCATCTTGTACCAACGGTCCATGCAGGAGGAGTCGATCATATTCTCCTGCGCGTATGCTATGCATGAGCAAAACAAATGTAAAACACCAAGTTGGTCCAGAGCTGTTTGTCTCGAATGGGGACTAGCCGAATATGCAACCTCATCATGGCAAGCTCCATGCATCGCATGTGTTTTGTAAATTGATTGGGGGGATGGATGTCTATAGCGTCCAAAGTTCTCCAACACCCTCGGCCAAAATCATGTTCAGAAGCAGAGGAGCCTTGCACTTTGCCAGCAAGACATACGTCTTGGCGGGTACTTGGATGCAGTCCAATACGATCACAAACCAGCGCTTGATGAAACTAGTGGTTGCTTGGTGTTCTGACACCCAACGCGAAGCATTTTGTGGCCGATGAGAGACTTGTAACATGGCTGTTAGGACTTGCGTTCGTTTTAGCAAACGGCTCCCCTCCACAAACAAGTGGAAAGCACGGAAGGGTCTTGGATGACTATCATCTCAAAAGGACCTCATGCTCCTTGAAGAGGGTAGCCCCTCTGCGAAATTCCCAAGACTGGGTCAACAAAAACAAGCTTGTTGAGCCCGTTCAAGAACACCGCCTGCCCAGCCCTTCTGACACAACGCCGGAAGCCGCCACTTTCAACGATGCAGCGTAATCTCGGCCTCGCTTCAGGCCACTCATGCATCGAAGAGCTGGCTGCAATCTGATGGACCAACGCTTTTCTGCCTGAAAGTTGCTCAAAGTACATTGCTAGGATTTTGCCAGCGGGATCTTGCAACACAACTAGTGCCGGTTCGGTCTAGGGCTTCATTTACATAGCAACTTGACAGGCATGCAATATTTGACAGTTTGCCAGCTCAATGAACAGTCATATCGTGCTTTTGCGAAACCGACCTTTGTCTATCTCTTGAGGCCATCACTTTGCACACACAGCTCTCTGGGTAACTTGAAGCTTCGGAGCGGTCACTTACTTCATGGGCAGCTTGTGTGTTTTCCCTCATTTCGACCTACATACTCTCAATGTCGCGTAATTATTGCTTTGCGCATGTACAGGTCGCCAAGCATTAATGG